CCCCTTACATAAGGGGTGAGTATCAGATGTAAGGGTCATCTAGAATGTATCGAGATAATGTTTGATTGTAAACTATCATAAAACATACACTTCATTAAAAGCTTTCCGTGTTGTGATCACAGGTGTACATGTTCCTACAAGCGAACCACGAAATCAGATATTTATATTCACATATTCATCATAAGATGGTGAAGTATTGCAGGTAAGAAAACATCAGTTGTGTAAGCATATGAACAATATAAAAATTTCAGAATTCTCCTAACCACGTTTTCCTTTCATTTCACTCGTTATTTATATTTAAAATAACAAATATGTCAAAAGGTACAAAATATTTATTTTACAAACGTTCTTGTTACAAGTTTGCTGCACGAGGAACCCACTTTGAGACTAATAATGGTTGGAGACGGCTTGAATGGGTAATGAAGAAAAACTTGAATATAAGTTTAACGTAACAGTAAATGTACAACGTTTCGACAAGGTTTTGTCATCATTAGGTACATCATCATCGAAACGTTGTACATTTGCTGTTATGTTAAACTTATATTAAAGTTTTTTTCGTTACCCATTCAAGCCGTCTCCAAGGATTATTGTTACAAGTCTGCTGGTTTTGCCAGAAGTGAAAAAAATTTTAATATATTTTACAAACATTCTTATGACAATACCAGTCTTGTTTGCATTGTTACAAGTGGTGAACTTATTTTACGAACATTCTTATTACAATACTAGCCTGTTTGCGTTGTTACGAGTGGAAAATTTAATTTATCTTACGAACGTTTTATTACAATACTAGCCTGTTTGCATTGTTACAAGTGGTGAACTTATTTTACGAACATTCTTATTACAATACTAGCCTGTTTGCGTTGTTACGAGTGGAAAATTTAATTTATCTTACGAACGTTTTATTACAATACTAGCCTGTTTGCATTGTTACAAGTGGTGAACTTATTTTACGAACATTCTTATTACAGTACTAGCCTGTTTGCGTTGTTACGAGTGGAAAATTTAATTTATCTTACGAACGTTTCATTACAATACTAGCCTGTCTTCACTGTTACAAGTGGACTTCTTATTATAGGAACGTTCTCATTACAATACCAGACTGTTTGCATTGTCTAGTGCGTCGCAACAGTTTTAAAACAATGACTGTTCTATTGTTTGGGTGGAAGAGAGGTACTTAGGAGAATATACGTCCTCGATCAAAGTATGTCCATTGAATTTGCTTATCTGAAAAAAGACATTAAAATATTATGAGTTTAGCACTGCTAAGTTCAATGACTTTTTTTTTTTAGAGTGAACCAAACTATAAAAGATTGCTTAAACATTTTTTTGGCAAAATATCATTTTGTGTGTGTATTTTGATGCACACATGAACATAAGTTTTTGATTGTTTGTTTGAAGTTAAGCACAAAGCGTTGTAAGTCCGCAGATATACTCCTGTGCCACTGGGGAGGGGGGGGGGGCGACACGATTTTGATATCAAAAAATTTATGATTTTCCAAGCTTTCAGCTTGAACGGATCCCGTTTGTGTTTGTTTGTTTGAACTTAAGTACGTAGCAACATAATGGGCTATCTATGCTCTGCCCAACACGGGTATCGAAACCCGGTTTCTAGCGTTCTGAGTCCGCAGACACTGTGTGTGGGGGGGGGGCGTTTGTGTGTATACGAATTGAATTAGTGTCGTATTCATTATGATTGCTCTTAAAAATGTGGCTTAACCGTGGTCCTTATATCCGTGGATTTCATAATGATATGTGGTAAGGTGTTTCTTCAACGCAGTTAAAGTTATGTGTTAAATGAGATATTATTTTTAATCACTTTTTTTTTCTATAGTGTTGAGTGCTAAGGCTACCGAGGACCTTTACCCAGATGAGGACCTATCTGTTGCCGCTGCAGAGGTTGCTAAGACTACCGAGGAACTTTACCCAGATGAGGACTTGTCTGTTGCCGCTGCAGAGGTTATAGAAGTGCTGCCGACCGTAACTGTTCGCGGATTTTTGAATTTTAGGACTACAGTTGATAACACTGTCATTGTGTTCACGCCGGCCAATTCTGGAACAAAGAACTCCCCTTCTCCATCTCGTACCCTTCCCCCCTCAGCATCCTCGACCATAAAACCCGATAATGCAGAAAACTCGAAAATTCAAGATTTGGCTTACTCCGATAGCCCACGGATTTTAAAAGCAGACCACGATCTCGAAAACGCAGTAAGAGATTCTTATGATCCAAAACCTATACATAATGTATTTCGCTCCACTCCTGGGACTTCTAAGAAGCTGCACCTGGCTACAAGCACACAAGCAGCACCAACTGTTGCACAGCAACGCACTCCCGTTTTGCCACAATATCCCACAGGCCTGGTAACTGTGGTAACGGGAAAAAACGTGCACGATGGAACAACATTTCTTCAAGAAACAAGTGTAATTGGGACTTATATTGATGGTAAGTATGCACAAATCCTGAAGAGTTCTTCCAAAATAGGTATTCCTTTAACCAGCACTTCCAGCCCCTCGACCAGTACTCGAACTAATATAAAACCTTCTCCATCAAAGGCGATACAGTTTACGACTAGTAGTGCTACCTTGGTAATTAACAACAAAGACAGACCAGTCCTCTCGAACTCGAAACAGGCAACAACAATAGAAATTCCACTAGATCGCCATGTTGAACAAAGGCAAAATATTGTTGACCGCAAGAAAGACGAAGGTATTGTTAGCAACGCTGTCTTGCAATCTTCTTTCAAGCCTGTGGAAACTGGCCAACATTGGTCAAGCAACCCCACACAATCGCTGGACGCTGAACGCACAAGCACCTCCAGAAGACTAAGATTTCGTCCTCGTCCAACCACATCTAAGTCTTCAAATGAGGAAAATACTTTACTAAAATTACGAAGCTTGAGAAGACCAACAGAACGATTTCGATATGTTCCTCGACAAAAAACTAACCCACGACGGTGAGAGACAGACGTTTTTTTTATCATTGCTATAGTAATAGTAATAAATAAGCCAATTTGTTTATTTGGTGATTGAATAATAAACCTTTGAGGTTAAATATACGAAAACGATAATAAATACTGCACGTTGTCTTTGATTTAGAAAAATAGAAAATATACATTCATTTTAATATTCTCAGGTTCAACTGAATCGGTTCAAAGTGAGGCTGAGGAATCGTCCTGATGAACACCAGAGAAAAGATAACCTGGAAACAGAGACAGAAGAAATCGAAGAGGAAGATGTCGGTGTTATTTCTGAACATCCTTTGATTTCAGTGGACCCATCACGTGTGATTAATGAAATGACCACTATTACTAGTGAGGTCACGTTACACGTGGGCCGCCGGAAGTCCGTGCGAACGTTAACTATCACAACTACTATCCAACGCACGCTAGAACCTTCTGAATTGACACCCATTGGCCTAACTGACAACTCCAAGGTAGACAATGACTTTCTGCCATCGCTCAGTTCATCTTACCACGTGATTTCACGAACCTATTCTACAACTGAGCACAGTTGGCGCACCTCGTTAGTTCCTATTGAAGATGGAGAGACTAAAATCATGCATACAGTCACTGAAAGTTTCATCATCCGGAAGATGATCACGGCGTATCGCACCGTACCAGCTGATGACCTCTTACTAAATGAAACTTTGGAATCAGATTTGGAAATCCCTTTCGGTGACAATTTGGAAGATGATCTAAGAGACGAAACGTTTACATCCCAGTCAACAGTCCAACAACAAACACCACCTCCAAAGTCTCTTCAGCTTCAGAATTCCAACTTGGATCCCTCAATGTTGTCACTCTCAAGTCCAGGAAACCTCCCTCTACAAATGGCCAATCCTTTGCTGTCACTAGGAGCTGCTCTGAATAGAAACCCCCTTGCTGCTGTATACTTAGGCTTACAACAGTTGAACCGTCAGGCGACTCTATATTCCACTGTTACCAAGACGACGTCTTACGTAACTACCGCTACCGTGTACAGCACGAAAGTGGTTAAATTCTACGATGGTCGGAACACTCGTTCACGGACACTGTCCGAATCTCTGTCCACTACAGTTCGTACGGTCACGACGCATAGTACTACCTTACAACCCGTAATCAACACCCAAGCATCCCAGCTACAACAACAGTTACAGGATTTGATTCGCACCCAACTCCAACCACCTGGTCCACCACAATATAACACTGTAACGTCATCGTACACAACTGTTACCATGGCCACTAGTACAAGCACACATATATACACACTTACTTACAACGCTTTCAGCACCAAATATCGTACCGTTACTAGCACCAGTTTGTATCTAACCACCATTTCAACTTACAGCACTTCGGAAGTGCCAATTCTTGCTACAGCGCCACCTGGTAGTGGTTATCAATTTTATGGATAGACTCTCGAAGCACTTTTTTTTTTTTTTAGCTGTTCAAAATAATTTGATTTTGAAGACAAATGTTATAAGTTGCGTGTCAACAATCATGACAGTGTTCCAGACGTTGCACGGGTGTTGAAGTTAACCATTTAACTGACTTTCACAAGACTATTTTGAATAGTGGTTAATACCCGGCATCCTCATCGTGATTTCAAGTTTTTGAAAATGGGACAAAAGGAGTTGGGCAACAATATACATTTTACGGCATAACACAAAGTTCCGGAAATAGTTAAGAGTTGGGCAACAATATACATTTTACGGCATAACAAAAAGTTCCGGAAATAATTAATTTGATATATACGTTAGGTAATGATTCGATGGCTGTTACTTTTATAACACATATTAATTTTCACCAAACAAAAACGTGGTCTTTAGCATCACATACATAAAAAGGTCTTACGTAATATTTATACGTTATGTTACGAGTGTTTCTGTAGTAAGTATTTATATTTTAGGGAGACAGAAACACGACTATTTCTGCAAAGATGTGTTTTGGACAGGGTTTGTTTTTATCTTTGATTTTTTTCTTCTTTTTTTTTGTGCTGTTAGGTATTATTTTAGTGATTGTAAAGTTAAACTTAAGATTAAAGCAATTTTGAATAGAAATAGTATTTTTACTTTCATACTAACTCTGACCTACAAGTATCTGAATGTATAATATTTCAATCAGATCTTCTGGTGCTCTTTTCAAAAGTGTTCAAGTTACTGAGTTGCTTTAATTGTGACTTATCTGTTGATTTGATCATACGTTTTCAACCATGATCATGATGTTATCATCCAAGTCTAATAATTATGAGTTTCTATTTGAATTTCAACAGTTTATATACGTACAATAAAATTAAATGTAACAATCGTTTATTGGTAAAAACCCTCATATACTATGTTAATATAACAATTACATTAGATAACCCAATTTGGGCGCGGTATTTTTACAATATATTTCGTTCTTATGAAACAGAAACTTTTGTTTTAAAGAGAAACAGGATTTATGCAAGTATGTATGTGAAGTTGTCAATCAAATGTTTTTTTGCGACTTAAAATCATTAATATTGAATAAACGTGTTTATAATATTGAATAAACGTGTTTATAATATTGAATAAACGTGTTTATAATATTGAATCACGTGTTTATAATATTGAATCACATGTTTATAATATTGAATCACGTGTTTATAATACTGAATCATGTGTTTATAATACTGAATCGTGTTTATAATATTGAATAAACGTGTTTATAAAACTGAATCGTGTTTATAATATTGAATAAACGTGTTTATAATACTGAATCGTGTTTATAATATTGAATAAACGTGTTTATAATACTGAATCGTGTTTATAATATTGAATAAACGTGTTCGGGAGATCGAATCCTACTAATTCCACAAAAAAACTTCCTGGTTGTGACGCATACAAAAATGTTTGATATAACACCTGACGATGTGAAAATAATAATAATACACACAATAAAAACGAGAATAATAGTCTGACTGATTATACCATTAGTAAAACTAACTCCTCGTCTAAATCACTACGCAAAACTATATTGATAAATTTGTTTTAGCGTTTAGAAACACAGGCAGAAATATATATATAATTAAAATCTTCTCCTCTTGATATATTAAACATTTGGCTTAAACGTTATTTCATAAACACTTATGAGTAGGAATCGTTTATAGTAAACAGGATATAGAGGGCTTATTGATACTTTATATAGAACTGTTTGTATATGTTAATGCCGTGGAAAGTCGATGAACACTCAATCAGGAAAGCGCTGTAGGCGACTCATTGGTCCTTATATATCTGGTTCAGGGTGAATTCCCAACCACTAGTCGTTTTTTTTTTTTTTTTTTTTTTTTTCGTGTATCAATTTCGACCAATCTCTAGTGAAGTGTGAGGGTAAATAGAAATACATTTCTGAGCGCCCCCGGTTGTGTTCGAACCTAAACTTTCAGTTTAAGGTGGAACGTTTACAATCAAAGGTTACTATCATGTTTTGTTTCCCGACAGCTACAGTACATGGGTATTATGACTGGATAATTCCACACGGCTTCACTTCCATACGCCTCTACCTAGAAGGAGTATTTCCCCGTAAAAGTAAAACCTCACATAACAGAGGTTAGGGCAGATACAGGCTTCGAAAACATACCCCAAGCCAAATGTTCTTATTACTAAAGTGAAGGTGATCGATCAGGAAGAAATGTTTCCAAGGACGACATAACCTGGAACTTAGAAAGCGATGTTAACCCTAGAACAATATCAAAATATCACTTGTTGACATTGGATATTTATTACTGATCTCAAGGGCAGTTGGCTTGTTTGATTTTACATGTACGGTGTTTGATTTCACAGAAAGATTGCAAGACAGTCAAGGAGGTGTTCATTGTCCCAGGAAACTAGCGGTTTCGCTGACAATGAAGGTCGATTTTGAATTAAAACAGAATCTAATGCGCTGTGTTGTTATGGTTCTGTATAGGACTGTATAAAATAGTCTCTATCGTCAGATGGAATAAATCAAGGTACAAACAAATCCAAAAATGGGATATAGAGCTTAAGGTTTGTTTGTTTTGAATTTCGTGGCAAAGCTACACGAGGGCTATCTGCGCTAGCCGTCCCTAATTTAGAAGTGTAAGACTAGAGGGAAAGCAGCTAGTCACCACCACCCAACGCCAACTCTTGGGCTACTCTTTTACCAACGAATAGTGGGATTGATCGTCACATTATAATGCCCCCACGGATGAAAGGGCGAGCATGTTTGGTGTGACGGGGATTCGAACCCGCGACCCTCAGATCGCGAGTCGAGTGCCTTAACCACCTTGGCCATGCCGGGCCCCCAGGCTAGGGAATACCTCCTCAACATAACTATGTATGTGCATTTATTAGTATAAAATTACTGACGAGCGACGTTTAATACAATAATTTTATACCTCAAACAAATACAACTATCAAGCGTGTGTAAGTAGCAAAAAGTGGGAGTTACAAGTAATTATGACTATTACCACCTTATGAGTATCTCTTTGAGCACTGTATTCAAATAACGTGAATAATAATAATACAACATTACATTAACTTATTTTA